AAAATTGTGTAATTGTTTTGTTGTTGTTTTTTGTAATTAAAGAGAAGTCCTTATTTTTGATGGCGGGCATGATAACTCCTCACTGGAACATCGGAATCCGAAAATTCCAACGGTGTTAGAAAGAGTACATGTCTGGCTCTCGTATGAACTAGACTTATTGACTTCGCTCTAAAATTAACAAAATGGCTGACATTTGAAAAAATATTTTTGGAAAATCGCCGATTTTTGACCAAAAACCAAGTAAAAAATAAGTAAGATCTTCACCGATTGGCTTTATCCTAGTTCATACGATAGCAGTACACTCACAGAGAAACGTGTACAAATTTGGAATCGATTTGGTTATTAGTTTTTGAGTCATCGTGCCCGCCATTCGCAAAAGAGAAAAATGCGTTTAAAGTTTGAGAAGCCCTTTTGCCGTCACTTGATGCTGACACAATAAATCGGCTATATCTTCAAGAGTTCTTGAGATTTTCACTTGAAATTTAGTAGGGACATTCCTGAATGAGTGTAGATTCGAATTAAGTCAAAATAAATGTTGACCCCGAGAATGGGGGGTCCCCTTAAATGGTCAAATGCTACTTATTTTTGGTGCATAGGGTTTCAACAAAGCATCATCTGTTGTAGCATGTCCAAGGTGATGCGGCTGCCATCTATTGTCGCCTAGAAACAAAGTATGCTTACATTTTGTTAGCGGTTGGTATCCTTGCTTATTTAGTGTTGCCATTTCCATTGGGTGGCGGTATCTCCTGCCGTTCTTATTTTGTGATGATGTCAAACTCCTTCAGAGAAATTTATTTTAGAAATTCTAATTCGACATTGATAAAATATATTTAATCTATAATTTTTCCTTTACAATTGTTGAATATTTTATGCATATTTTCAATTTTGGCGATATGACCTAATGTACACAAAACATACTGTCACCCGAAAAACAGTTGAGGCCTATTCCAATGAATGGTTTTACTTGTATATGCAGCTTTAATTCATTTATTTAGTTCCAGACAAATAATAATAGTTTTGAGTTATTCAAATCAAAGTATTTTCTTACCGCAACAAATGGCATGGTGACAAGGTACTACATACACAATGCTATGTCTTACAATATTTGCTATGTGCCCCATTTGTGTTGTATTCGACAGGCCGAAATATAAGGATATGCCGAAAACCAAAATTAAACAATCATACGGATAGACATAAACGTTATACGTAATTATTTGATAATGAAATGTTATGGTCGGATTCTATGCATTTCAAGAGCTAATTCCGTTCAAAATCGTCAAAATATCGAAAACTTGGGACTACCGTTATAAGGGGACTTTGTCTAAACGTGGACCGATATAGCCGATTAATAAAAGAGTCAAGTGATTGACTGATTTAACGATTCATCAACGCCCAGATGAAACGGCTGAAGCTAGAAACTTTGGGTGAGGGTCACTCTTGGTCCAAAGGTGACAGATAAGACTGGGTTTTCAGAAATTCGTACTAGAACGGTACGAAAAGTACTAAATGTTATACCATTTGTATTTGGCGAACCGGTAGAGCTAGAACTCTTTAAATTTTAAATGAGGGTCACTGAAGGAGTGTAGAATAGATATATCAAAGGGTTTTTTGGACATTCGAACTATAAGTATGCGTAAAGTACTAAAATGTACTAAATTTGGTGCAATTTTGTAGCATGTGAATGGATAAAGCTAAAAACTTTAAATTTGGAATGCGAAAAAGGGTTGAGATGTAGGTCTATTTAAGGAGATTGTTTTGAAAACGTGTACTCATGTGTACGAAAAGTACTATATGGTCCTATATTTGGTACAAATTTAATTTTGAGGTACACATCGAGCTGGAATCCTAAAATTTGAAATTAACATTACCGTCGGAGTGTAGGATTGGGATATGAATGTTGTTTTGGAAATGTGTTACTTATGTGTACGAAAAGTACTAAATCGGTACAGTTTGGATTTGGGTGAAACGATATAGCCGGAACAAAGAAATTTGGAGTCAGGATTACTGTAGGGGTGTGGGATTGGGGTCAGGATTCAGTTTAAGAAATTAATACTAAATGGTGCTAAATTACATTTTCAGTTTAAGAAATTAATACTAAATGGTACTAAATTTTGTACAATTTGAATTTTAGGTGAACCAATAGAGCTAGAATCATGAAATTTGGAGACAGGATCACCGTTGAGGTGTAAGATTGAGATATTTAAAAGTTTTAGAAATTTGTACCAATGTGTACTAAATTTGATACAATTTGAATTGGGAGTAAACCGATAGAGTTGAAATTCTGAAACTTGGATTTGGGATCACTGTGGGGGTGTAGGGTTGAGGTATGTAGGAAGTTTTAGAAATTTTTACTAAGTGTACTAAATTTTATACAATTTAAATTGTGGGTGAAGCGATAGAGTTGGAATCGTGAAATTTTGATTTAGGAACACTGTGGAGGTGTAGGATTGGGGTATGTAAGATGTTTTAAAAATTGGTACTACTACTATGTACTAAATTTGGTACAATTTGAATTGTGGGTGAACCGATAGAGTTGGAATCCTCAAAATTTGATTAAGGGGCACTGTGAAGGTGTAGAGTTGGGGTATGTAGGAAGTTTTGTAAATTGGTACTACTGTGTACTAAATTTGGTACAATTTGAATTGTGGGTGAACCGTTAGAGTTGGAATCCTGAAACTTAGTTTTAGGATCAGTGGGTGTAGGATTGGGGTATGTATGAAGTTTTGTAAATTGGTACTACTGTGTACTAAATTTGGTACAATTTGAATTGTGTGTGAACCGTTAGAGTTGGAATCCTGAAACTTAGTTTTAGGATCAGTGGGGGTAAGATTGGGGTATGTAGAATGTTTTGGAAATTGGTACTACTGTGTACTAAATTTTGTACAATTTGAATTGTGGGTGAACCGATAGGGTTGGAATCCTGAAACTTGGATTTAGGATCAGTGTGGGGGGGTAGGATTGGGGTATGTTGAATGTTTTGGAAATTGGTACTAATGTGTAGTATATATAGTGCAATTTGAATTATGGGTGAACCAATAGATTTGAAGTCCTGAAATTTGAATTCGGAATCATTGTGTAGGTTCGAGGTATGCAGGAAGTTTTGTTGTATGGTTAATGAGGGTACTTATGGGAATAATGTGTGCTAGATGGAACCAAGTTTGGTAAAATTTGGATTTGGGTGAACCTTTAGAACCAACGACCTTAGCGATTTCACAATCTGCTTCGAGGTTCTTGACTGTATAGATCCTTAGATACGCCACTTAATGTCAAGGGCGCCCCAATGTAGGGAATAGAGGAGCTTTCATTTTTTTCGGTTCGTAAATATAATCAAATTTATAATAAAATTTTCATGTCAGGGATTCCCCCGATAAGCAGATAATTTCATATTTTGGAATTTTTCATTGGGGATATTTTAAGGGGACCCCTCCCATTCACGGGGTCAAAAATGTTGTTGATATAATTCGAATCTACACCAATTAAATAATGTCCCTACAAAATTTCTAGCGAAAATCTCAAGAACTCTTGAAGATATAGCCGATTTATTGAGTCAGCATCAAGTGACGGCTGAAGGGCTTCTCAAACTTTAAACGCGCTTTTCTCTAAAAATTTTTTTGCGAATGGCGTGCACGATAACTCAAAAACTAATAACCCAATCGATTTCAAATTTTTACACGTTTCTCTGTGAGTGTATAGCTATCGTATGAACTAGGATAAAGCCAATCGGTGAAGATCTTCCTTATTTGTTAACTTAGTTTGTGGTCAAAAATCTGCGATTTTCCAAAAATATTTTTTCAAAGGTCCACCATTTTGTTAATTTTAGAGCGAAGTCAATAATCCTAGTTCATACGAGAGCCAGACATTTACTCTTTCTAACACCGTTGGAATTTTCGGATTCCGATGTTCCAGTGAGGAGTTATCATGCCCGCCATCAAAAATAAGGACTTTTCTTTAATTACAAAAAACAACAACAAAACAATAACAATTTTTTTTTTTGTAAATTATTTTTCTTCTATTTTAAATCTTCAATTATATATATGTAAAGTTACAAACCTTAACAAGCATTGGTATTGATTTACCAGCCCATTAAAATCTTGAAAAATTAAAATCGAAAATTGGGGGGAGGGGGGGGGGGGGTCCCTTAAGTTTATACGTTATGCGGGCAAACACAATTCGATTTAGGAGCAAGCAAAACATTACCCTTCGAAATGCTCGAAAGAGTCATTAAAAAAAATCAACGGATGGATCAATATATCCAGATGATCTATCCGTTGGGTTCAATTAATTAATTCAATTTATTTGTGGATAGTACTTCATTTTACCCTAATATTCGCAACGCATCAATATCGTTGTTGTGGGTGACATGTAGTGTTGTTGTTTGGTTAATAGTGGTGAACGTACATTGTCCTCTTGCATGTAATAAACAAAAAAAGAGGTACAGTGGTGAAGAAGTATTGAATACTGTCACACAAAGAGCACGCAAATGTATCCATTTGGACAATCTTCCAAATATTTGAATTAAGAATTTTTAATACAACAAAGAACGTTTCCCTTAAATTTATTGATTTCAAAACTTATCTATTATGTATGCACCACAGTGCAATACAACCAGCTGCAAAGCTATGAAAAATATAGGCCCATGTATGTTTAACTACTGTCGTCTGCTAGCATTTATACTGTTGTCTGAATACAAAACCATACTTTAAATATGTATGTAATAATTGCGATGTCAACGTAATAACAATTTCATTAAATAAATAAATGAAAGTGTGTATAGCATTGTTTATAACTTTGTTTATTTTTTCTTAACGCGACACTTCTTCGTTCGGCAATTAATTGCAACCAACAAAAAAAATGGAAGAAATATTATCGCATACGGCGGTCTTGTTTCTTTACGCTGCATTTCCTTATTTTTCGTTGTTTTATTTCGTTATGCCATTTATGTAATCGCCATAAATGTTTGTAAATTAATTTATTTTTGTAACATTTTTATTTATTTACAGCTTCATTGGCCGGCACCCAAGTAGCCCATCAATTGGTTGTGGCTATACGCCAAAAATGCACCCCAGAGGAAGTTATTAACATCCTAAAAGAACTGCCAAATTCGGGTGAAAATGCTGATCAGGAAATGTCGGAAACCTCATTTAATCCATTGAAAATCGATGTCTTTGTCCAGACCCTATTGAATTTGGGCTCGAAATCGTTTTCACACAGTTTTGCAGCAATATCGAAATTTCATTTAGTTTTTAAGGTAAGTTTTTTGTTGGGTTGCCTTGAGCTAGATTCGTTAATGTGGATATGAATTACATTTATTTCAATAAAAACATATAATTTTATTTATAACTACTGATTTTATTGCAGGCCTTGGCTGAATCGGAAGAAGCCCAAATATGCATACTTCACAATGTATTCGAATTGTGGCAGAATCATCAACAAATGATGGTTGTAATCATTGATAAGCTGCTGAAGACACAAATTGTTGACTGTTCGGCAGTAGCCACATGGATTTTCTCCAAAGAAATGACCGGTGAATTTACAAAAATGTATCTTTGGGAGATATTACATTTGACCATACGAAAAATGAATAAACATGTTATAAAATTAAGTGAGTATAGCAGATTTGACTTAAAAACAAACACAATACATGTATTCATATTAATACGTCTTTGAGAATTATTACGATACAAGACATTCACAAAAAACGATAATAGAAAATTTAGCGTTAAAGAAGTAATAACTATGTTAAGTTCGCCCGGGCCAACATTTTTATTTCCTACACCAAGAGGTTGACACGGGAGGAAAATATTTCATATATTCTCCCGCTATATGGGGCTATAAAAAAATGATAATTTTTGGTAGCGAGATTTGACACCAAATACGAATACAAAGTACATACTTACTTAGCTGTCTCGAGAAGAACGTTTATTCCATAAGCCGAACTTTAAAAAAATTTCTAGAACTTCGATCTTGTGCGCAGTCTTTCCAATTTAAGGGAACCCTACCCATTCTCGATTTTAATTTTTTAAGATTTTCAATGGGCTGGTAAATCAATACCAATGCTTGTTAAGGTTTGTAACTTTGCACATATATATTTCAAAATTTAAAAGAGAAGAAAAATAATTTACAAAAAGTTTTTGTTATTGCTTTGTTGTTGTTTTTGTAATTTAAGAAAAGTCCTTATTTTTGATGGCGGGCATGATAACTCCTCACTGGAACATCCGAATCCGAAAATTCCAACGGTGTTAGAAAGAGTACATGTCTGGCTCTCGTATGAACTAGGATTATTGACTTCGCTCTAAAATTAACAAAATGGCGGGCCTTTGAAAAAATATTTTTGAAAAATCGCCGATTTTTGACCAAAAACCAAGATAAAAAATAAGGAAGATCTTCACCGATGGGCTTTATCCTAGTTCATACGATAGCTATACACTCACAGAGAAACGTGTAAAAATTTGGAATCGATTGGGTTATTAGTTTTTGAGTTATCGTGCCCGCCATTCGCAAAAGAGAAAACGCGTTTAAAGTTTGAGAAGCCCTTTAGCCGTCACTTGATGCTGACACAATAAATCGGCTATATCTTCAAGAGTTCTTGAGATTTTCACTTGAAATTTTGTAGAGTCATTCTTGAATTAGTGTAGAATCGAATTAAATTAAAAAAAAAAAAAAATTGACCCCGAGAATGGGGGGTCCCCCTAAAATACCATGTTTTGATATGTCATCCTCCACTTGATCTTTCCATCGAATTCGTGGCCTTCTTCTTCTGCGTGAACCATCAGTAGGATCGCTTTTATAGCTGGGACATCCTCACCCATTCGCACAACATGGCCTAGCCACCGCAGTCGCTGCAGCTCGATACGACTAATTATGTCGAGATAAAGCTTGTGGTTCAGTCGACGCCGATATTCACTGACGACGCAGATCGGCCCGTAGATTTTTCGGATTTTTTTCCTCTCAAACACTCGCAAGATCTGTTTCATCTGCTTGCGAAAATACCCATGCTTCTGATTCATACACCAGCACGGGTAGTATCAGCGTCTTGTAGAGTGCTTACTTAGACCATAGTAGAATCTGTTGGCCAACACTATCCTATCCGAATTTTAATACCGATACCGAGGTATATAAAATCTTTGACTACCTCGAAGCTGTAGCTTTCAAGTTCCACAGTTGGTCCGAGTCTACTGGACGTCTTGTGCGTTGATACCATTAGCTTGGTCTTTTCGCCATTTACTGCCAGACCCACTTTGGCAGACTCCTTTTAAATTCTTTCAAAGGTGGCTGTTACCGCACGCAATGTTCGATCCAGTATGTTGATGTCGTCGTCGTAGCGAATAACCAGTGTCGTTTTGGTATACACAGGGCCATTTCTGTTCATCTTTGCCTCTCGTATTGATACCATCAGCTTGGTCTTTTCGCCATTTACTGCCAGACCCACTTTGGCAGACTCCTTCTAAATTTGTTCATAGGTGGCTGTTACCGCTCTCAATATTCGACCCATTATGTCGATTTCATCGTCGTAGTCGAGTAACCAGTGTCGTTTTGGTGTACACAGGACCATTTCTGTTCACCTTTGCCTCTCGTATGACTTTCCAGCAATATTTAAAAAGGTCACACGGGAGGGTGACACCGTGTCTGAGCTCTCGTTCGGTATTGAGGGGTCCCTTCCGATTTTAACTTTTGGCCTTATGCCAGTTAGAGTTATTAATTTTGCAGGAATGCCGAACGCAGACATGACCTTAAACACCTCTGAACAGATAAGGCTTTCGTATGCGGCTTTATAGTCGACGAATAGGTGGAATGTTTCAATGTGTTTTTCGTGGTTCTTCTCCAAGAATTGACGGAGAGTGGAAATCTATTATATCATGGATTTGTCAGGTCTGAAGCCGCGTTAATATGATCCAATAATATCATTGACAATAATATCATTGACCACTGGTACAGTACGCTGGATGCAATGGGAAGGAGACTAACTAATTCCTCTATAATTGCCATAGATCGTCTTGTCTCCTTTTTTTTGTGCACGGAACACATGATGTTGGGGTCCCATCATTGGGAATGCATTCCTCTAGCCAAATTGTACTAATAAGCTGGTGCATGCTCCTGACCACCGGTCATGAATAGTTTTTATTTTTTTAGTCGATTGATTGTTATTCTGACCTCATCTTAGCTAGGTGGAATACACTCTATACCGTCATTTCTTATTGGTTCTGGGGTATCTTCTTCACCGCCACTATTTGATACAAGAAGCTATGCAAAATGCTGCTTCCAGATACTCAACACGCTATCTGTATCTGTCACCAGGTTTCCATCTTCATTTATACAGGAGGATGTGCCTGCACCAAAGCCTTCGGTTTGGTATTTTACTCGTTGGTAAAATTTCTGGACTTCATTATGACTCCTGTACATCTCGAGTTGCTCTCGCTCACACTTTGCATGTTCTTTCTTCTTTTTTCTGGAAATACGTTTCTCCTCTCTCCTTTTTCCCCGATAATTCACTCTCTCGCATTACGTTTTCCTACTGTGTGCAGGGTTTGCCCTATACGCTGGGTTTTTTCACCTCAGTAGCATTACGAAACTCCTGATCGTACCATGGGTTTGTTGATGGTGGACTTTTGTACCCTAGTGTTGCTTTTTCAGCAGTTTGTAGGGAGTGAGCAATGAGCAAGAAGTGCTTTTGTCAAGCAGGTGGGTAAGTTGAGCGGAGTAGGCTTCTGTTGTCTGTTGTGCTTTTAGCTTTTCGACGTTGAGTTTCCGTGTTGTGTTAGATCGCACCTTTGCTGCTATATTAAAACGAGTGCGAACCTTGTCTGCTACCTGGTAGTAATCCGAATCGATATTCACAAATACATAATTACAGCCAATTCTTTTGAAAAACGTGTCCCAAATACCGAATATTGGAGGTACCATTATATGGGGGTACGGTTATTTGCGGGCTACACCAAAACGTGAACCGATATATCACATTTGCACTACCAAACATCCTAGGAGTACTATCAATGTCTGTGCAAAATTTCAGAGCCCTTTCTTAAATATATCGATCTCTATCGTAATTTCAACAGACGGACATGCGTAAATCGACATATTCCGATCAAGAATATATATATATAGTTGCGCAAAATAAAATAGCACCAGCATAAACCCTATTAATTAAAAAAAATAAATGGAGGAACGTTTTGTGGACAGATGAAAGTAAGATTGTGCTGTATATGGAAAAAGATCCTCGAGAATATGTCAGACGACCACCAAATGCAGAGCTTAAGGGGACCCCCCCATTCTCGGTGTCAACATTTTTTTTCTTTTGATTTAATTCGAATCTACACTAACTCAAGAATGTCCCTACAACATTTCAAGTGAAAATCTCAAGAACCCTTGAAGATATAGCCGATTTATTGTGTCAGCATCAAGTGACGGCTAAAGGGCTTCTCAAACTTTAAACGCGTTTTTCTCTTTTGCGAATGGCGAGCACGATAACTCAAAAACTAATAATCCAATCGGTTCCAAATTTTGACACGTTTTTCTGGGAGTGTATAGCGCTCGTATGAACTAGGATAAAGCCAATCGGTGAAGAACTTCCTTATTTTTTAACTTAGTTTGTGGTAAAAAATAGGCGATTTTCCAAAAAAAAAAATTCAAAGGTCCGCCATTTTGTTAATTATTGTGCGAAGTCAATAATCCTAGTTCATACGACAGTACTCTTTCTAACACCGTTGGAATTTTCGGATTCCGATGTTCCAGTGAGGAGTTATCATGCCCGCCATTAAAAATAAGACTTTTCTTTGATCTCAAAAAACAACAACAAACAATTTTTGTAAATTATTTTTCTTCCTTTTTAAATCTTCAAATATATATGTGCAAAGGTACAAACCTTAACATGCATTGGTATTCATTTACCAGCCCATTTAAAATCTTAAAAATAAAAAATCGAGAATGGTACACCTTGATACAACTTTCTAAGTATTGCTTGTAAGGGTGGTGCTATTTTATTGTTCGCAGCTGTATATATTGTGTGGCCACAGGTTGTTGCAAACGGAATGACAATTTTAATATTTACTCCACCTTATGGTGGAGAGTTTAAAAATATTGGTCCATAAATCAGGACGGAAAGGAAAATTTAGATTGTTAATACCACTTTTAATTATCATATATTTTCCATATCCATCGCGATTTCGCGCAACTATTGCGAGTTACTACAAATGAAATGGCTACCTAAGCATTCCCCTTTTCTTATATGTTTTAGAAAATTACATTTTACTCTTAATTGTTTTCACTTTTTGTTTAGTAAAGATTTTAAAATATATGTATATTCGTTTTCACTTTCTGTTCGATAAGAATCTAACAATTATATTCTATTTTTGTGTTTAGCTCATGAATTGAATGACGCCAAGGAAAAACTATCAAAAGCCGACTCATCATCAAGCGATTCAGAAGATGAGGCAGCACCAAAACGCAAGAAACCCGTAACCACCGTCGACAAACCAACAGAAGAGGTAAGTAAGTGAATTGTAGCGTTCACGCGAAACAATGAATCAATCTGAGTCGGTGATATGTGTGGTATAGACCACACATAGCATTAGCCATCTTTGTTGTAATGCGCATTAAGAGACAAAGACGAGACTAAAGAACACAATTTTTGGTGGTGCTATGGATAGTAGCATATTGGTGGTGTTTAGTACTGCTTTAATTATGCAATTAAAGAATTAAACAATATTTGTTTGTAATTTAACAACAGTTAATTGAGTTTTTGTTGTTGTTATGCTTTTTATTCACCACGCTTCGTTTAACAGCACATTCCATAGCACCATCAACATTGTATTCTTATCTTCACTTAGATTTTGCTTTAGTTTTTGTTTAAAAACAAAATCTAGATGAGAAACTAACTACTATGCCCATGTGTTTTGTGTTTTACATATTTTCTAAATTTATTTCAAAACCTAAGAAGTACCCATTGTACATTAATCTTATCAAGGTTTTATTTTAGTTTAAAAAACATTAAAAGTACACATTTCAATTTGCTTGCTACACATTACAATTTTGACCATAACAACAATCAACATATTGAAATAATCTAACTTTCTATACACAATTAAAAAATACAACGAAATTCAAACTATGTTTTTCCAGATGGTTGAACGCATGGAAGAAAAATTGGAAGCTGCCAATGTCGATCAGAAACGTCTATTTCTTATTGTATTCCAGAGATTTATTATGATTCTCTCAGAACATTTAGTTAGATCGGATACAGATGGTCGGGATCCCGATACCGACTGGTATCGCTGGACAATTGGACGTTTGCAACAAGTTTTCTTAATGGTAAGCTTTTTTGTATTATATTTGAATTTGAATTAGAACGTGTTTTAATTTACAAACATTCTTCACAGCATCATGAACAAGTGCAAAAATACAGCAGCACTTTGGAAACCCTTCTCTTTACATCCGATTTGGATTCACATATATTGGATGTGTTCCATCAGTTTGTTGCACTTCGCGCTTAAACGGCGGGATTATAGCATAGCAAAAAAACATCGCCGTATGATCGTCGACATCATTTAAGGAAACAGAAAAAACATAATTATTGTGTTTATAACATTTTGCTTTCACTTAATTCTATAAATGTTTTCAAATTGAAAATATCACTTGTAACGATAACAATATTTGTATTGTAAAAAAAAAATAAATAAATAAAAACGTGTAACGGGAAACAACCCCAAAAATAATGTTAACGAAGTTTAATAAAGAAATAAATTACGTAAACTTAATCCATTGTTTTTATTTACTCAAAATAACAATTAAATTGTATTTGCAGGAATTTGAAAGGCATAGGTATAATTAAGCTATAAGAAGATGAGCCGACAAGATTGTATACACACATTATAAGGCAGAAAGTTTTTTATTAGGTTTATTCAAAGTGATAATTTTGATTTCAGTAGACAGAATACGTAAAATTCTCCATGATACCAGTTTGATAGAATCTCCATGGGAATGCTGTATTCACATTGTCCTGAAGCATGGAAATTAGGCAGGATGGCAAACAAGGATCATGTTTTCACGACAGAGGGGTCTAAGATCCGTCACTCCAGTTCATTGTGTAGAAGCCCTAGAGCTGCACAACAACAAGAATTTTAGCAGATGTGAAACGTAATGGCCGACTTCCATTCTGTCCCAAGTAGCTAAGGCCCTTGATGTACTACTCATCCCTCTGATAAGAAATAAGTTTTATAGTAGACAACATCAGTATAGATTCAAAAAGATGCACAGGTGTGCACGCCATAACCACACATTATCAGAGGACTTAATCAGAACAGGAACAAATTTAGTGGCTCTTGATTTGCCGATACTGTCAAATTTTTTCAAGAATATAGAGAATACCAACCCGGTTTGAATCATATTTGGAATTCAAAGACAAGAAATCGAAGACCCGTCCAGTGAAACAGAATGATCCCAAGGTGGGTCATATCTCCAGATCTCTTTGATTTCCATGTTTCTGAAATTCCACAACCACCAGACGGCATAAAAATCATATTGCATGCGGATTATTGCGCAATCATGGCGTCTGGACCCTTTATCAATGACATATGTGAAAGGTTAAATGTCTATATAGAAGAAGATATAGTGGAACAATATTTAAATTTGTACGAATTCGCCTCCATTTACATGAGGAGGCGAAAGTCTTATCAGTAAATCGACACAATAGGATGTTATCGATGCATTAAATGCTTGGGTTGAACATCGGAATCACATATACCATCTAAAGTGTGGTCCAACGATATTAGGAGAAACTCCTAGATCAACAGGTCTATCGAACAGTATTTCGCATTGGCGAAATATGTAAGAGCTACTGCAAGAAAGCCGGCAACAGATGGTCTGAGGAAGTTGGGTGCAAGACTTAAAAATCTACGTGTCCTGAGTTTTCACGACGTATAATTATTTCGCTGTTGTCACACAGAAAAAGGGAGATCAAACTCAATGTAGGGATCATAACAGGTCACTGTAAGATTAGATCACTCACATTTAAATGGTTCATCAATGGAGTGGATTATTGAATATATACTCCTTAGATGTCCATAGCTAAGTAGCAGAAGACATCGACTATTTGTTAGATATGAAATTAATACACTAGCATTCTTCTACAAAATTGATCCCATAAACATTTTTAACTTTGCTAAGATATTCAAAAAACCTCCCAATCAATTTCTATTATCCTTCCTCTTCCGTTCTTTATATTTTTCCCAATTTTCCGTTTGAAAACTTTCAAACCAACATAATACCGTTTAGAATTGAGTTTTAAGCTACTTGAAGGATTGTCATCAAGTCTCTGTTCCCTATTTGGATCAACTTTTCTCTGAATATGTGAAAATACAGCATTCTAATATCGACAGCCCTAACAACAGCTGATATCTAATCAGAAAAATCAACGGCATTAAAACTCGAAACGAACGACATACTCCAATTAGCAAAAATTCCTTTGTTGTCAACCATGGTACAATTATAAAAGGTAACAGCAAATCCCAGCTGATTCCAACGTAATACTAGTGTCAATATGAATTTGACAAATTATGTTTTTAAAAATAACCCAACAGGAAAATTGGGAACGCATACAATTTGAAATTGTTCTTTATTAATGTGCTCCCGTATTCAATTTACTCAATCTGCCTGCTGGGAAAGTTTGAGGAAGCAAATCTTTCTTGAAGGAATTACTCGCTATTCCCAGCATTGTCATATGTGTTACACATATATGTATATGGCAATGGCTCAATTAAAGGAAAGATGTGGAAGCGATAGAAATATAAATTTGATAGATTTTCATTCATGTTTTTCAATTTTTATTTTGAGGATTCGAAAATATTCCATTTTCAAAATAAAAATAATTTGATGATAATTTGTTTGTTTGTTTACATTTTTCTGTCAAATGAGTTAACACTAGTAGAACTTACAACAAAAAATTTCCATGTGGTTGTTGTATCGTTTTTTGTACAACACTTGCTGTTACCTTTTATTATTATACCATGGTTGTCAACATGCATATAACAACGCCGTCACACATTAACATTTCAGTATGGCTCGGTTCTCTGACTGCAGCTGTTTCTCATTTAGTCTCCATCCCACCTCATTCGTAAATATTCGGTTATTCCATTTTGAGCTCATCTTTATCGGTCATTTTGTCTTCTCATCTCATTCGTTAGCAGGTGGAACGTTTTTCTTTCGTTGGTTTTTTTATTAACGTTCTTATCTATCCGACGATAAACAAAAGAAATAATTAAATATAAAAAAACAGCGTCTAATGGTCATAAAAATTAAATTGCGAATTTTTTGAAATTGTTTTCAAACATGTCCTGCTTTGGTTGCAGTAAAACCTATGGCCTTTTCACCAAAGAAGTAAGTAGTAGAAAATCAATGTAAACAATGACTCAGTTCTGCAGCAGAATTAATTAATTTGTTCTCCAATTGACTTGTTCTTTCTATTTGATTTAGTATGGTTGTCCGAATTGTGGTTACTCCTATTGTGCCAAGTGTCTTAAACGACCAGTGGCTGTTCCCAAACACAATGACAAAGTAATGAATGTCTGTCTGATATGTTATGATAAACTGTCCAAACTACAAGCTGCCGAAAAGGTTATCGATGTTGAATCTTTACCCGGCACCATTGTGACAAAAACCAATCGTGGGAAGGCGAAAGAAAACAATCTAAATACCGATATTAATAAATTACTCGAAGTGGAACCATCAGCAGCTTTAACGGGTGAAGTTTTGGCTCCCATAACACCTACACCGCAAATGACATCGTCTACACATTCCAGTGGTGAAAACTCCGATATAACGGAAAATCTCGATTCGGCAATATTGCAACGACTGAAAAATTTAAAAACTAATGGTAACGGCAACAATCAACAGCTACCATCTGATGATGAGATACGTTCAAGATTGGCAAATTTAAATGGTATACCCTATAAGGATTATTCGAAAAAAGATTTATTATTGAATGTGGATCAACGTTCGGACCAAGAAAAAATGAATGATTTATTAAAACAATTTATGGGTGAAGCTCAACTGGATAGACGTATTGATGCCGAGCGAAATGATGCAATATCGGATATTGAAAGAAGATTACGAGCATTGCGTGATACGCCAGTAGATGGTGCTGCGGCGGCAAGTGGGCCAACAAGACTTGTAGGTGATATATCGCCGGATACGAATACACCGAGTGATAATGAACTTGACGATGAAGCAATATTAAAGGATATTATGCAGAAGGTAAGAAAGATAAAACTATGACTTTTCTAGGAGGATGATCTCAATGGGCAATAGTCTCCGAGTGGACGGTTGTTACTATCAACCGTACATCCCTAACCTATAAGGTTTCTATTTTTGTATAACCTAGATCATATTCTATAACATCCATAATGAGGAAAAACATACCCGCACCGATACTGAAAACTTATACAGGTTTAGAATTTAACAATGCCAAATTCAGGGAAAACTTTCGAAAGCTTATTCCGGTTGTCCGAACATACCCGGTGGTAGAAACCAGGTTTTTAAGTAAACGAGAGTGGTTTTGATCCAACTAAGATGGGGGTGGTGCAGACTCCTCAATTCCGAATTGACGGCACAATACAAGAGTAATATACCTCGTTTTTCCAATGCTGATAAAAATGGTTTGATTTTAACGAGTTTTATATCAGACTTTTTCTGGGCCCAGTCTCTTCAGATTTAGACCTCGACCCTCGCGTTATATGGAACACCACATTGTGACGTGTATATAATCAAAGACTATCTAAATTAATAATCTAACATACAGTCCATTTCACTCATATTTCCCGGTTAATAAACATATTGTGGTCCAAAAATATTTCTAGGGTGTTTAGTAGGTTATACTAAAACATGGACTGTCATGTTTTTAAATCGCCAATTACAGTCATGCCATGTTGGATATTTCTAAACCTTAGTTCTTCTGATAATTACATTTTTACTATTTTAGTATTTGGCTGAAGCCCGTCTACCCGAAGCTCCGACAACAATAGAATCGGAATTGGCAGCTAGTGTTCCACCGCCGCCAGCAGGCACTGAAACCGAAGAATTACCCTGGTGCAATATATGCAATGAAGATGCTGTAATCCGTTGTCTAGGCTGTGAAGGTGAACTGTTTTGTGCCACCTGTTTCCGTGAATGTCACGACGATGATGAAGAATATCGTACACATGCCAAGGAACCCTATAGTGCACCGCCCAAATTTAAAGAAGATCATTTCTAGGACCAGCTTTGTTTGTTATTTGTTTTATTTATATTCTAATAGACATATTTTGATATTATATATTTTATTATAATCAATATGCTTATTGATTTTTTTCTCTTTTTTGTTATAAAAAAACTTAACAATTAACATTAATTTTAAAGTCCAAACATAAAGGAGCTAAGGCAATACAATAATATAGTAAAAAATGAAACTATAAAAAAATATTTGAATTACAAATACAAAATGAAAAAGTTGTTCACATTAAGCTACACAGAAGCTTAAAAGAAACGAAAAATAATGGCTAAGGGGGATCAAACAAATATTTCCTCTATGTGGATAAAACACACATATTTATATAGTTTCAACTATGTTCTCTACATTAGACTTATGGGTATAACAAACATGTTTACAACTTGATAACAGTTGTTTTGTTTCTTCTTGTATTACAATTTGCTAATAATTATTAGTACATTCTAACGAGTTCAGCACTTTTTGTCACTTACAAAAAAATTGGTCAGTATTTGCTAATTTTGTTTTTTGTTTCTTGGTTCATTGTTGTCATTTCGTATCAAAACAATATTTCTTTTATTTTACCACAAAAATATATGTCTTACCACCTTCTAATTTTTTGTATCTTTGGGTAGGGAGAGTTTTTGATGGAGTTTTTTCTTCTACACTACGGGGTTCATGCATATCAGACTTATACTCTAAATTCGAGTTATTGCACTATGGCATTGTGCTGGGCAATGTTGAATATTTTCTGGTTATGGCTTTTCTTTCCCAAAAAGGGGAAAAAAGCACCTAATAACGTAATTTCTCCAAATATTTGGGAACCAAATGTTGGGCCGAATAACGATCAAATGTAAAATATTCAAAAAATTTCTCACGTTGTTTACGAAACAAAGCTGGATTACGGCACCAATTGTAAAGCATTTTTATAAGTTGATTGGAAGTGTTGTAGAGATTTTCTTTGGGATATAGTTCGGGATAGACCAGTTTATTGGGGGCAATGGGCATACAACCGCAGTATGTGGCCTCAAGCCTGCAATAAGATAAATTGTTAAAATATTGAAAATAATGGAAATTCATTATTTTTCAAACTCACATGGCCACCCCATAAAATTCATGACCCGCCGTCGATATAACCACATCACCATCCAGCAGTGTCTTAACATATTTATCTCGTGACAAGAAACCAAAATTGATTAATTTCGACCCCAGCTTATCCTGCAAACCTTCAAATGCCTCCGGTGAAGTGTGATATGTTTCGCCACATATTGTAACCTTAAAATCCACCTGCCGTTTATTTAATTCCAGCAAAACCTCAACCAACAGTTTGGGATTTTTATCATGTTCCCAACGATGTGGCCATATTAAATGCAAACAATCATTGGCATTTTCTGTGGTTAGAGTATTCATTTGTACATCACCACCCACAATTAGGCGTTTATTTGGAAATGCATGGAACTTTATGGGAAAATATATTACTTCACATTTCTTTTCGATTTTTTCACGCAGATGTTTCAACTTCAAATCGGGTTGGATATTAAGAAATGGCTGGATATTATCCAAAAATGATGTGCGATTAAAATTGGAATTGAATATTACATTATCGGCGGCAAGGCTAGAAAGAAGATGGGAAAATTAGAAAATATAAATAATTTGAAAAATTATTAGGTCTACCTACCATGTCATAATTTGATTGAGACCATATTGACAATCTCTTTCCTTCACTTCTCGAACAGGATATACCAATCGATTTTCATGGGCGAGACAATTTCTTGCAAACATTTAAATCGGGGCGACATCCAATAGCTCTGCTAAATTCAGTACCGACGAAGAGAACAAAATTTTGTACTCATGATTTTGTGGTATCACTTGTGAAAAATATAATGCCCCAGTGCGTGCACGCCAATGCCATTTCTTTGCCGGAAGACTAAAGATTTCATAGTCCGTTACATTTAAACCTAAGATGGAAAGAAATATATTTCAATTAAAAACAATAAATATTTTATTAAAATTAATGCCAGATACTAAAAAATATAGTAGTTGAAATTCTAACCAATAAGAAGAATAAGATTAGTCGATCTCGTGTTTTCTAAAATCTTTTTTGCGTTCTCAGTGCCTATAGACGGGGTTTCCATCTAATGTTGAATTTAGGGACTCATCTCGGATATGTGCGTTGAAGATCGGAAATCCATATGTTTATAACATTGTAATTTTTATTTCGTTTCCAAAAGTCTCCGTCCAAAGGCCGGATATTTAAAAAAATAAATTTAAGAAGAAATTTAAATCGCGTAGCTGAATTTACCAACTCTTCATAGGAGGACGTCCTATATAGTCGGTCTAAGTCTGATTTTTTAAATTAATTTATTGGCACGTTTTACATTTTCTTTTATCGGACCATATTTCGGGATGCATGCACTTTCCCATAAAATGTCATATATTTTAGTTATCAGAGGGACAATACAAACATTTCAAAACACCGAAATGACCCCCTAATCTCTGCTTGCTCTTGCAACGCAGCACAACTACCTAGCTAAGGGTCAAATCATTTCTCTAGTTCTGTAACCACATGACAAGTGAGATAGATTTGTATATTGCATTCTAACACTCCCTTCTGGAAAACACATTGTACTATTGGACCACATTTCACCGGCGAGAGCCCACATTTGAGGCAATCAAAATATCTTTTGGCCACCACAGCAGCATTTTTCAATACAAATCCACGTGAACATTGAACATATTTATAAATCCAATTAATATCCACATCGTAAACAAAACAAATAACATCTGTAATTTTTTCTAACCGGAAAAAATCTTGTGGATAATTCGC